CAAACCGATGCTGTTGCATTTTCCATTATCTGAAGATGTCCCTCGTGAAATCGTCATCTTCGGCAGTCATCAGGGCGCTCTTGGAGCCAGATTGAAATCGTTTTTGGGCTCTCATTTCTTCATCTCGGAGCACTTCAAGAACGATGTCAATACGATGTTGATAACATATCATGCTTTTGAGGATGTCCCCAGCGAAATGCAAATTTTTTGCCGTGCTCATTGTTCTGGTCCGCCGTGCTGCCGATTTATAAAGCGGTTTTGCTAGGGACACCCTGGAAAAGAGATGCGTGCGACAGCGCATGGGCATCGTTTTCGATGGCATCGGACGGGCCCAGAACGAACCCCAAACGAGCCCAATAATCACCCCGAGAGCGTCCTCGAGACTTCTCAAAATGCGCACGTCGCTCGATACATCTGATGTGGAAGAGGTTGTTTTTTAAGACCATGCATGTTAAAACTGAGCTTTTCGCCGGAGACGTCTTCAAACACCGGCAGGATCACGGCGCATCAACATGCAGAGGCACGACAGAACCCAGAGGACCACGGCAGAACACACAGGAGCACGGCAGAACACGCAGGAGCACGGCAGAACCAGCAAAAACATCCGTAGCCATTTTGGCTCAAGGCCGTGCTCGGGCGCGCGCCGCGCGCGGGCGCTCGGGCAGAATGGTGCGGGAGGTGCTCGCCGGTGTCGCGGCGGCCCGATGGGCGGCAGACAACCTGGTGAGATGGCTGGACATGGAGCTGCGGGAGGCGAAGGCGGTCATCGCCAGCCTCCGCGCGCAGCTGGAGTGCGGGTCGCGCGGCGACTCCGCGGAGGCGGAAGCCCTACGCCGCGAAGCCATCGCGCGGCCCGCCTTGGCGGCGCGCGTCCGCGGACGCCGCGAGACCAGGGCGCAGCGGCAGAGGCGGAACGTCGCGTGGCATGCCGAGCATTGCCCGTCGGCCGACGCCCCGCCGCAGGCGTGGCGCAGGGCTCAGCGCGGGCCGCGCCTCCCAGGAGGGCCCCTTCCTGGTGATGGGCGCGGCGGTGCGGCGCAGAGTGCCATCGTGTGTGAGGTGGAGACCTGCGTCTGCGAAGTGCAGCCGCCGTTCGAGTGCGCTGTGGATGCCAGCGTGGCTGACGCGCCAGCGCGGCTGCCCGGCGCCCGAGCGGCGGCCGCGAGGGCCCCGCTGCGTTCTGGCGCCCAGCCGTTCCCTCCCCAGCGGGCGCGCTGGGCCGCGCTGCTGGAGGAACTCGGCGCGGCGCAGCGGGCCGAGCAGGGCTCCGGCGAGGACGGCGCCGGGTGCACTGAGGCGGTAGAGACCGACGCGGCGGTTCTGGCGAGCCCGCCTGGCGACGCGGTGGAGCTCACGGCCGGCGGCTCCGAGGTTTGCCCCGAGGGCCAGGGCGAGTCCGAGGGGGGCGACGCGGCGCCCGCGCCGTGCGGGCTGCTCGGCGACAGGAGGGCCAGCGAGCTGAGCGGGGCTGTTCCTCTCGGGCAAGGGTGCGCGAGGGTCAAGCGGGCATCCTTCGCTCCGTGGCCCGACGTCACCGCCTTGCAGGTGGGGGCTCTGGGAGGCCCGCTCGGCGTGGCAGGAGTCCTTCGGCATGGCCCTGCCCCGCAGTGGGCGGACCCAGCTTGGACGAGCCAGGCGAGGGCCGTCGACCTGATGCACCTCTGCGAGTGCGAGAGGTTCGGTATCTCCGCGAGGCCTCGTCGGCGACTCACCTGGAGAGTGCGTTTCGCCGAGGGACCTGGGCGTGAGGGGCCCGCGGCCGTGGGCGCTGGGGCGCCGCGGCCGCCGCCCGCGGCCGTCGTGGAGGAGCCCGCGGGAGGTTCGGCCATCGAGCACGCCGTCGGCATGGAGCCCCTGGTCGCGGACCCCGTCGGCTGCGCCGCGGGCGATGGCCACTCGGGCTCGGAGTGCGGGTTCGTTTCGTTCCTGGACAACTTCTCGGCGGCGGCGGTGGCGCGTGCGGCCCAGGGGCCGAAGTCGGGAGTTGAGTCACTCCTGGACTGGGCCGAGGCCCGCGCCCTCGGCTTCCGCCTCGGCAGTGCAGGTTGTCCAGATGCCGAGGAGCGCGTGCGGCTCCTCGATGGTCTTTTGGTCCGCGCGCGTTGCGCGACGCGGCCCCCGCGTGGAGAGGGGGCCCTAGGCGGCCCCTCTTGGGAGGGCGTGTGTTTTCTTTCGCCTTTAAGGCCCCGTCTTTAACTTTCACTTTATCCAGCAAAAACACGGGATCACGCCAGACCACACATGACCACGGCAGAACACGCAGGAGCACAGCAGAACACACAGGAACACATAGGAGCACGGCGAACACACATAATTCATAGGAGCACGACAGACAAGACAGGAGCATTGCAGAACGCACGCGGGCACGGCAAAACACACATAACACACAGGAACACGGCAGAACACGCAGAAGCACGGCAGAACACACAGGAGCGTGGCATAACACACAGGAGCACGAAGGAGCACGGCATAACACACAGGAGCACGGCAGAACATACAGGAGCACGGCAGAACACGCAGGTGCACAATGGGCACGGCAGAACACATAATATTTAGGAACGCGGCAGAACGCAGGAGCACGACAGTACACGCAGGAGCACGGCATAACACACAAGAGCACGGCATAACCAGAAAAACAAGCACAGGAGCACGGCAGAACACGCGGGAGCAGAGCATAATACACAGGAACACATAGGAACACTGCAGAACACACACACACACACACACACACACACACACACACACACACACACACACACACACACACACACACACACACACACACACACACACACACACACGCAGAATTCATATAAGCACGGCAGACAGCACCACAGCATTGCAAAACGCACATGGGCACGGCAAAACACAGCAGGCAGAACACACAGGAGCACGGCAGAACATACAGGAGCACGGCAGAACACGCAGGTGCACGATGAGCGCTGCAGAACATATAATATGTAGGAGCACGCGGGACACAGGAGCACGACAGCACACACAGGAGCACGGCAGAACGCATTGGTGCACGGCAACACTGACGGCTGAACACGCAGGAGCACGGCAGAACACGCAGAAGCACAAATCCGTACCATTTTGGCTCAAGCGAGCCGCGCTTCGGGGGGCCCTCGTGCGCGCCGCGGACGCCGCGGCGCGGCGCGCCAGCGGCCATGGCCGCCGCGCTTGGCGCGGGCGGCAAGACATGGGCGGCGGCGAGCGCGCGGACGCTCGCACGGCGTCGCCGCCGAGAAGTTCGACAGGAGCTCGGGGCGTCTCACGCCGCCGCGCTGGCGTCGCGCGGCAAGGCGCTCCGTGCCTCGCTCCATGCACACTGGCGATTATGTGATCGGCTGGGGGTGCATTACCCCAGCATGGGAGAGGCGTTGGCAGCGGCCAGGCTCCCCCAGTGGCCACGCGACGAGCTTCTGGAGGTCGAGGGCGCGCTGCACTTCGGCAACCGCGCCCGGCGCGCGCCCCCCCCGGAGGCTGCAGGAGGCGCCCCGCAGTTGCCTGACGGCCTGCCGTTGCAAGCGCAGGCCTTCGAGTGCGTCGTCACGGGCCACAGCGCGTCGCTGCGTGCCGAGGCGCCCGCCTCTGCCCCCAGCTGCGTTGGCGAGGTGGCAGCCAGGGCGCGGAAGTCCGCCCTGTTGGCGGCGCTCGAGGTGACCCAGGTGGCCGGTGAGAAGGGCATCGACGGGGTGAAGAAGACCGTCGACCAGGTGCTCGGCGAGAAGGTGTTCTTCGAGTCGCTCTTCACGCAGAAGACCGAGACGTTCGAGGAGCAGGTGCTGGACGTCACCGGCGACGACGTGGGCGTAGACCAGGCGCTCGGCAATAATGCGTCCATCGAGCCGCTCTTCACGCAGGAGGGCAAGCGCTCGAGGGGCAGTCGATGGACGTCATCAGCAACGACGCGGGCGTCGACCAGGTGCTCGGCGAGAACGCGTTCATCGAGCCGCTCTTCACGCAGGAGGGCGAGCCGCCCGAGGAGCAGGGGCTGGACGTCATCGGCGTCGAGGTTGGCGTCGACCAGGTGCTCTGCGAGAATGCGCTCATCGAGCCGCTCTTCACGCAGAAGGGCGAGAAGTTCGATGAGCAGGTGCTGGGCGTCATCAGCAACGACGTCGGCCTCGACCAGGTGCTCAGCGAGGACGCGTTCATCGAGACGCTCTTCACGCAGAAGGGCGAGACGGTGCTGGACGTCATCAGCGACGACGTGGGCGTAGACCAGGGGCTCGGCGAGTACGCATTCATCGAGCCGCTCTGCACGCAGAAGGGCGAGTCGGTGCTGGGCGTCATCAGCGACGACGTGGGCGTCGACCAGGTGCTCTGCGAGAATGCGTTCATCGAGCCGCTCTTCACGCGGAAGGGCGAGACGTTCGAGGAGCAGGTGCTGGCGCCGCCGACCGCTCCCGCCGCGGAGTGCGGGTTCGTTTCACTCCTGGGCGACTTCTCGGCGGCGGCGGTGGCGTGCGCGGCCCAGGGGCCGAAGTCGGGAGTTGAGTCACTCCTGGACTGGGCCGAGGCCCGCGCCCTCGGCGTTCGCCTCGGCAGTGCAGGTTGTCCAGCTGCCGAGGAGCGCGCGCGGCTCCCCGATGGTCTCTTGGTTCGTGCGCGTTGCACGACGCGGCCCAAGAGTAGTGAGCGAGGCGGGCAGTTGCATTCTGCATGTAGATCTGTTCTCGCCTTGTGGCGCGGCCGCGGTGGAGGCCCAGTGCGGCCCCCGCGGGGAGAGGCGGCCCTAGGCGGCCCCTCTCGGGAGGGCGTGTCTCGGGTGGCGCTGTGCCCCTGGAGGCCCCTCGGTTCCTTTTTTCCTCTCCCCCCCTACGCCTTGAAGGCCCCGTCTTTAATTTTAATTTTAATTTTAATTTTAACACGCAGAAGCACGGCAGAACAGGCGGCAGAAAACGCAGTGGTACGGCAGAACTCGCAGAGTACCCCGTAGCCATTTTGGCTCTGGCCAGGCTGGCTCAAGGCTCCATGCGGGGCCCCCTGAGCTCGGCATGGCGGCTGCGGGAGAGCCCCTCCGTGGGGTAGCCGGTGCGCGCGCGTCCGCCGACCGGCTCATTTTCAAGCTGAAGAGCAGGCTGGTGGCCGCTGACCGCAAGGCTCTCGCCTTCGAGTCTTCGCTGCTGCACCTCTTCGGCGACGCGGAGGTTGCGGAGAGGGTCGCTTGTATTCTTCTTGCCCTCACGTCCCTCCTCGCGGGCGAGCGGCCAGAGGCGCTGGACGTCATTCGGCGCAGCGTGGCGCTCCACTCCGAGGGGCCCTGCGGCGTGTCTCTTGTCTCAGCTGGCCGCGCCGAGCTGCGCAAGGCCCAGAAGCGCGAGCGGGGGCTCGAGGCGAGGAGGGCGGACACCCAGCCCGCGGCCCACGTGCTGTTGCAGGGCTCCCCGCCCCTCGGGGCCGAGAGCGGGCTCCGTCGTGACGCGCCCCCTTTCGTCCCGAGCTCGGGCTGCTGGGTGCCGCTGGACGGCTGCGGCCGCCTCTGCACGCGCGGCGCGACGCGCTACTCGTCGCGCTTCCCGCCGCCGCTCTCCGTTGAGATGTGATCGAGGATCACGGCGACGATGACTCTCCGTGTGGCGAGGCGGCTGCTGCTGAGTTTCCGACCAGGGGCGCCCCCCCCGCCTTGGTCGACGGCTCTGAGGGGGCGAGTGGGGCCGCGGGCCCGCCGCAGGGCGCCGTGCCAGTCTCGCGCCCCTGGCTGGTGGCAGGCGCGCGCGGCAGTCGCCAGAGTCTGGCTGGGGCCATCGCTGGACGAGGGCGCCGTCCCCGAAGCTGCGGGCGGTGTGCTGCGGGCGCGGAGAGTCCGCTTTGCAGATGCCCCGCGCGTTATCGAGATTGGGAGCTGCTCGGGCTTGCGCGGTATTCTTCGGCAGGGGAGCGTGCCGAGGCTTCTGGGCCCCGCCTGGGCGCGCCACGCAAATGCCGCTGACCTCATGCACATGATCGAGGGCGACTCCTTCGGCCTCAGGATTCCTCCCACACGGAGGCCGCTGCATTATAGGGCGAGGTTCGCGGTCGGGCCTCGTCTGGTTGAAGCCCTTCCGCCTAGGATGTCTGTTGAGCGTGCCAGAGAGATCGATCGCCTTCTCAGATTGTGCGGAGGACTGTAGCTCGTGCAGGCCCCGCAGAACATGCTGTGGGTGAGTGGGTTTGTGCAGTTGTGAGTCGAGTGGGATATTGAGTAGTATCTATTCTTTTCGTTCCTGCACTTGTTGCGGTCTTGTGTAGTATATGCTCTTGTCAGTGCTGCACTTGATGGTTTGTCTTGTGCAGTCTATACCAGAGGCTTCGCCTTCTGTCTGTGCTGCGCGTGTCTGGGAGGGGGCCCAAGGCGGCCTCCTCTGTCTGCGTTCTGGCCACCGTTTGCCTTGAAGGCCCCGTCTTTAACTTTAACTCGCAGAGTACATGGGAGCACGGCAGAACACAGGAGCACGGCAGAACACGCAGGAGCGCGGCATACCATTTTTAACACAATGAGCACGGCAGAACAAGCGAGAGCACGGCAGAACACACATAATACTTATTTGCATAACCGCACCCGCAGGCACACGCACATAGGCACACGCACACAGGCGCACGCACACGCACACACATAGACACACACACAGGCGCACACACACACGCACACACACACACAGGGAGGCAACATACGTTCACGCAGACCGCAGGAGCACGGCAGAGCAACACGGCATAACACAGCAGTGCCGCAGACCACCGCGCACGTACACATGCACGTATTCCACGCACGCTTGCGCACGCGCAAACGCACGCACGCCACGACAGATCTACGCGGCAGACTAGCAAAATAGCATACTTCACATACCTAGTTGACATAGCGACGCTTCCCGTTCTTGTCCTGTCAGGTTCCTCCAGATCGTGATTTCGCTTGAGACATCCTCACACGACAACGAGATCTTCACGACATCGCGTTTAACAAAAACAAGCGTTTCGTTCGATGCATCCTCGAAAAGCTGAGGTATGCGAAATTCGCGAATCTGTAAAATGAGGTTTCGACGGAGGTGTAGTACTACCTCTTATATTGATAGCGACGTTTTCGATAGGGACGTCCCCAGAAAATGATCGGCAGCACGGCGGGCCAGAAAACATAGCACAGCCGAACATGTGCATTTCGCTCGCAAATGCAATGTTCTCAACATCGTCTTGACATCGTTGACGCGAGAGCCCAAAAAGGATTTCAATATGGCTGCGAGAGCGCCCTGGTTATTACCGGAAATGGCGATTTCGCTAGGGACATCCTAAAACAAATGAAAAACACAACATCATCGTTTTGAAAACTGTTCTATCATCGTCTTGGGACCGCTCTTGGAAAGGCTTCCACACGGCCCAAATCAGGTTTCTAAAAATGACGATTCTGCTAGGGGGACCTTCCAGAAGAAAATGTGTGCGTCATCGCATTCGCATCGTTTTTGATGCCATCGAAACGGCCCCGGCAGAGCCCACAACGACACCCAAACGAGCCCCAATATGACCCCACGGGCGCCCTCGAGATCCCTCAAGCTGCGCATTTCGCTCGAGACATCGTCAAACAAATAAGTTGCTCGCAACATCCCCTGTTACAGCCAAGAGGTGTTTCGCTTGAGACATCTGCCAGAAAATGAAAGTAATATGGAAATGAGGCTATCGCCTGATAGACTTTCGAACACATGAGAGGTGTTGAGCAGGTTGACTGAAACTCATGCATGTTAAACTCAATCTTCTCGACTGAGACATCTTCAGAAGATGGGCAGGACCACGGCAGACCAACAAACAGACGCACGGCAGAACGCGCGGGAGCACGGCAGAACACACAGGAGCAAGGCAGAACCCACAGAACACACGGGAGCATGGCAGAACAGACAGGAGCACGGCAGAACACGCAGGAGCACAGCGGAACACACAGGGACACGAGGTTCATTTCAGAACACACACAATACATAGGAGCATGGCAGAACACGCAGGAGCACGGCAACCATGCACAAAACACACAGGAGCACGGCAGAACACACAGGAAGATGGCAGAACACACAGGGGCACGGCAGAACACGCAGGAGCACGATGAGTACGGCAGAACACATAATACATAGGATCACGGCAGAACACACAGGAGTTTGGTAGAACACACAGGAGCGCGGCAGGTTACACAAAACACATGGGAGCACAGCAGAACAAGCAGGAGCACGACAGAACACGCAGGAGCACGGCATAACACACAGGAGCACGGCATAACGCACAGGAGAATGGCAGAGCACGCAGGAGCACGGCAGAACACGTGGCAGAACACGCAGTAGTACGGCAGAAGTCACAGGAGCACGGCAGACCACGCAGGAGGACGAGGCGCACGGCAGAATACACAGAAAACATCGGATCACGGCAGAACACAGGAGTTCGACAGAACACACAGGAGCGCGGCAGGTTACACAAAACACATGGGAGCACGGCAGAACAAGCAGGAGCACGGCAAAACGCACAGGAGTTCGGCAGAACACAGAGGAACACAGCAGAACACAGGAACACGGCAGAACACGCAGGAGCACGGCAGAACACCCAGAACATTTATTCACACAGCCGCGCACACAGGCACACGCACACAGGCACACGCAGACGCACACAAAGACACATACACACGCACACACACGCACACACGCACACACAGGGAGGCAACATACGTTCACGCAGACCGAAGGAGCACGGCAGAGCAGCACGGCAAAACACAGCAGTGCCGCAGACCACCACGCACGCACACATGCACATATTCCACGCACGCACGCGCGCGCGCAAACGCACGCACGCCAGACTTGCACAGCGCATACTAAGAACGTAGAATATCGCACAAGCCCAATGCACAAAAGCACGCTTCCCGTTCTTGTCTGGTCAGGTTGTTCAAAAGTTCGATTTCGCTTGAGACGTCCTCACAAAATTGAGATCTTCGCGACATCGCGTTTAACAAACAAGAGCGTTTCGCTTGAGGCATCCTGGAAAAGCTGATCGCCGCGAAATTCACTAATCTGAAAAATTTGCGCTTTCGCTTGCGACATCCTAGCCACAATGAGGTGTCGACGGAGGTGCAGTGCTACCTCTTATCTTGGAGACGACGTTTTCGCTAGGGACGTCCTCAGAAAATGACCGGCAGCATGACAGACCCAAAAAGAGCACGGCTGAATGTTTGCTTTTCGCTGGGGTCATCCTCAACAAAATGCGATGGTTTCAACATCGTCTTCACCTCGTTCTCGAAGTGCTTCAAGAATGACAGCTCAAAAAGGACCCCATGAGGGCTCCAAGAGCGCCCTGAAGACTGCCGAACATGACGATATCGCTAGGGACATCCTCAACAACTGAAAAAATACAAAAGCATTGTTTTGAATGCTGCTGTTCTAACATCGTCTTGGGATCGATCCTGAAAAGGCTTCCAGACGACCCAGGCCAGCCTTCTAAAACTGACGATTCCGCTAGGGACATCTTCAAACAAGAGATGTGTATGACATCGCACTGGCATCATTGTTGATGGCACCGAAACGGCCCCGAACGAGCCCCTAACGAGCCCCAAAACGACGCCGAGAGCGCCCTCGAGACGAGCCCACATGCGCATTCCGTTTGATACATACTCACTCATATGAGTTTTGTTTGCAACATCCTATTTTACATAAACAAGCGTTTTCGCCTGAGACATCGACGTGAAACTGAAAGTCGCGAACTTAGCAAATCGATGCAACTGGGGTTATCTCCTGAGACATCCTCGAAAACATGAGATTTTGCCAAGGTTGATTTAAAGCCCATGCATTCTAAATTTGAGCTCTCGGCTTGAGGCATCTTCAAACATTGACAGGACATCCGCAGACCAACGCACCGAGGCACGGCAGAACGCGCGGGCGCAGGGCAGAACATACAGGAGCATGGCAGAACACGCAGGGGCATGGCAGATTACAAGGAACGCACGGGAACACGGCAGAACACACAGGGGCACGGCAAACCATGCAGGAGCACGGCAGAACACATAGGAGCACGAGGAGCACGGCAGAACACACATAAGACATAGAAAGCACGGCATAATCGACAAAAGCATGGCAGAGCACGCAGGAACACGGCAAAACATTCGAAACGCACAGGAACATTGCATACCACACAGGAACACAGCAGAACACAAAGGAGCACGGCAGAACACGCAGGAGCACGGCAGAACCCAACGAACGCACGTGAGCACGGCAGAACACACAGGAGCACGGCAGAAGACACAGGAGCACGGCATAACATGTAGGAGCACGAAGAGCACGGCATAACACAGCATGCGCAGGAATACAGCAGAACAAGCAGAAACACGGCATAACACGCAGGAGCATGGAACAACACATAGGAACACGGCAGAACACGCAAAACCACGGCAGAGCACGCAGGGGCATGGCAGAACAACCAGAGGCACGACAGAACACGCAGGAGCGCGGCTGACACACAACACACGGGAGCACGGCAGAACACAGAGGAGCACACATGAGCATGGCAGAACGCATAGGAGCACGGAAGAACACATCATAACACACATAATACACAG